TTTAATACGCGTGCATGTTTTCGGCCGTGCGGACGGACGTGGCTAAACAAACTGTACTGTACTTAGGTTCCTCACTTATAGCGTTTTCGACCGTAGCGGGTTTGGACCGATCTGGATTGGATTAATGATGTTGCATGCTCTACTATTGGTAGAACATGTAATGTTAATCAATAGTGGAGCATATATGACGTCGTTAATCCAATCCAGATCGGTTTAAACCTGCTGATCGAAAATATTATCAGGTACTTTCTTTAGGTCCCTCCGATTGGCAGCGATGAATTTTACATTTTTCAATGAAACCAAAGGAAAATCATAAAATTAATTTCATCGGGATGAAAAACGTCGGGATGGAATCTGCATTGTCATTGTATCACTCAACGAAGGCCATCAGTCGGGAATAACGCCCCGATCGGTGCTCCGACTTGCAACGATAAAATTCTTGTCGCCCCAAAAAAAAAAGAAAAAAAATGACGTGTACTCGAGTCGCCGATTATAACATAATTGAATGGAGATTACAACGTAGATCGCGCGTTGATTGCTTCGGATGATTTTGTTATCTCTCTGCAATTATATTTATATACATTTCTCATCTTCTCACTATAAAGCAATTCGATCGAGTTTACACATAATATTGCACAATTTCGTCGAGATATTTCAAGAATTTCTACAAATACACTATGTGTGTGTGTGTGTGTGTGTGTGTGTGTGTGTGTATATATATATATATATATATATATATACACACACATATCTCTCTGTCGAGTAGTTAGATAAAACAGAGCTTGAAATATATATAATATCAGATTTTTTTTAACTTGGATCCTCTGATATTGTTTTTTAGGCTACATTTCAAAACTTTCTCTCTGAGGAAAATTTTATCCTACATAATATAGTATATGTTACGTGTAACATTTCGAGTAAAATTTTTCTCAGAGTGGATGTTTTGGAATGTAGTCTTAAATAGTAATTCTTTTGAAATAGTAAGTAAATATTGACCGAGAAACGTTTAACACGAAGTGAAGAAGGACGTTTGTTCAAGTTTTGAGCTGGAATTTGTAAAATTTACACAAAAATATTATTAGACATTAAGATCTATTTTCAGTCAAATAGGTTCTTCGCTTATTTGTACTGATTATTTTATATTTCATAAATATAAAATCATCAATAAAAATCGAAGCACTTGTGCAATATGTAAAGTATAACACGGTCAATAGTACTGTTAGTATTAACAAATATTGACAATATTACTAATCATGTGTGATTAATATTGATGGATTGTACAGAATACTGACGATGACCTAGATTTTAATTCTCCTGCATCAGTGACTACATTTACACGGCATTCTTAATCGAGTTCAAATAACATCTGTAGTTATGAAACTGACAATCATAGGAATATAGATTCCTGTGAAAAATGGAATGACTGTGATTGTCCAGTTTCATAACTACGTATAATGTTATTAAACCCGATTAAGAGTGCCGTATAAATGTAGTCAATATTGCATTATTAGAGATCCATATGTCACAGTATATCACAATCAACACAAAAATTTTAACATGCATGTCTTAGAAAGTCTACTATACTATATTTTTAAGTTAAAATTAATATTTTACTTTTTACAGTGTTTTACTGCTCGTATAAGATTGTAAAAATATTAATGTACTAAAATATTAATGTCAGTATTATTGATCCAATATTATTAATCAGTATTATTAACCGTGTATAGAATCATCTTATTAAGAGAATTGATCAGAGTTTTTCCTTTCCATGAAATGAAGAACCTTAATTAGTTGATTCTCTTATGCTATATGCTATATTATACAAAGATATGTGCTCCAATCTTATAGCTTCACAGTGACTTAGTATCGAGTCTTTGCATTACAACCGTAATAGTGATTAACGGGATTGGAAAGTGAATCTGCATGTAAAAGGTAAAAAGCTCAGTGATATACTCGCTCTGACTCGTTTCAACGAATCGTTTATGTCTATACATGTGCGCATTTATAATACTTTATTATATGAAGGGGTAAGACCGGTTTAGAAGTGAGATGAGCGACGTGTCATTGCTCGCGCGAGTATATGAAAAAATTTCTGAAAGCCACTATTGACACGTGGTAACATGTTGCACGGAAAATGCGTCGTTCATCGTGATTCTTCCGGATAATGCTCACTGAAGTCGACGTCTAGACGCGCGCGCATGTCGGATGTGTACTTCATTGCATACTACGTGCAATGCAGCCGTCTCTCGCGGGCATCTAAGTGTTAGTATGTATGTAGTATATACGCACGTATAGAAAGGAACGAATCGAGGCGCATGCAACACGTGCACGCGCACAGAGGCGGATCACCGCACGCCCCGCGTCGCGCAAAACCAATAGTAAAATGCGACTTAATAGATAGCCGTCATTTGCGTCGCGGACAGTGGCGATTAATAAACCGATCTCGCAGAAGCAATTAAGTGGCTGAGACATCACTTCATTAGGGATAAAAGGATTCGACATGGCAACTTTGTGTGCTTTGATCCTTCTGTAATGAAATACCGTAAAGGTGATATTTCATAAAAACGTCAGCGTGACTTTGACGTTTATAGTTATTTTCTATTTTCACACAAGTGATACTGAGTCTAAATAGTGATGTAAATATTTTATACTCACATAATGACGTCACTACTTGCTTACTTTGGTGACAAAGTTATCGCATAACAACATAGGTTCATAATCTCACTTTTAATGTGAAGTTCAATGAAGCATATGGTTTCGAGGTTGTGTAGATTGTAGATAAAAACTCAATTGAATCTCACTTTGTCGGAATAAAAAGGACGGTGCGGTTCAATTGAGTTATGACATCATAAATAAGAATTATTTGAATTTTGATATAAATGGAAAGCAACTAAACGCTAAAAGTTGAACTTATGTAACTTTCAGCATTAGTTTGTTCAGTTCAAGAGTTCGAAGTTAAAGTACATACATGATACTCCTTTTCATGCATTTTCACTGTTTAACGTCAATTATTTTTCATATAACAACCTATTTCGACACCGAAAACGAGTATCATGAAACATGAAAATGTACTTTAAACACTTGACGACAACAGAAATATGTAGCGAGCACGAAGTCGTCAAGCGCAGTAAAAACTCGTCGACTATATTTCGCGAAAGAGGACGTAAGAATGTTACCTCAGGGTAGGCGATTTTACTTCATTCCGTGAGATCGATGCGGGTGCAGGTGGGAGGAGAGGACGTCAAGCGCTCAGAGCGTTAATAAATCGACGGTCGCGCGCCGTGCAATCAAATCCACCGCGATCGGCCTCTGCAATCTGCACGTACGCGTACGTGAAATCGAGAGGAAAGGGGGAGGAGAGAGTACGGAGGTGGGGGACCGGGAAGCTGCCGAAATTACAGCCATTATCGCGATAGAGGTGAGAACCGACCGATGTTTGCTTAACCCGATCGGAAATCGACGAGAGGTCGAGCACGATCTCCTCCCCCGATTCCGCGTACCGATTCCCGACGGGAGAGAGAGGGAGCGAGGGAGGGAAAGAGGAATAAGGGCAAACAAGGAGAGCGTTGTTCACCCCGAAAGATGGGCGGACTGCGCCGTTTAACCCGCGAGTTAACGGGGCGTATCCCGCGAAACGGTGCAACCACGATTTACGATCTCACGTTTCACGCTCGCATCGCCTGTACAAGGTGATTTCACTCAACCGCGTTCTCTTTTAGGTAAATATTACTATAAATAATTAAAACGAGTTTGAGAAAAATTGTAAATTCGATATCGTTATATAATAAATAAATAAATAAATACACTGAGATCCGTTTCAATGTAGTTAATTTTAATCTCAGTTTAATTTACTCTTCTTCTTTTTCTAATCCTTGGAATTAGAAAAAGATGAAGCGTAAATTGAATCGAGATTAAAGTTAATTTACAATTGGTAGAAATGGACCGATAAATATTCTGGTTAAACCAATAAAAAGACTTAACCAGAATGGCATTTTTGTGAAACAGAATTTCTAAATATATTTGTAACCAGAAATTCTATTTGGCCTCATCAAAATATCATTCTGATTGGACCTTTTTGTTAATTTATCATAACCAGAATTTTGCTTTGAATCGTTAGATGCTTATTATAACAATTTATTGTGGAACAGAACTATGCGGTCGTTTAAATACACCTTTGTACCTTCTTTTCTTTCTTTTTCGTACATTAAAAAAAAAATTCTGATTGAAAATGGACAAATCAGAATTTTCTAGTTAAATCTGCTGGAATTCTAGTTGAGGTAGCTAGAATTCTGATTGTCCATTTCTCTATCAGAATTACTATTTAATCCAATCAGACGATTTTTCTCGGTGTATCAGCGACTTTCCCTTTCGATCTCTCGTTGTTTTTATCTTCGATGCGCTTGACTCACGAATTTATTGTTTCTCACAATGGTATACGATGATCATCGTTGAAATGCGTTAAAGTTGAATGTCTCTCTCAAATTGTTTACGTCGCACGCGGCATGACGTCGATATAGAGCCTCTCACGCACGCGTCTGCAAGGATATCGCGTTTCCCGCGTTTTTACATCCCTTTTTTTTTCTTATTTACTCAGGACTAGTTAGAGCTCAAAGAAACCTCGTTTCTAGCTCGTACATTTGATTATGTTAATTTCGACACGCGGCAAGAAAAATTAACGGCGCGACTCGGTGGCGGTCAATCAATAAATTATCCTGTCAATGATTCTGCAAACCTAGCGAGTGAATAATTACCGTGAAATATTTTCTCTCGGTCGTGAGAACAGATCCAGATCGATCTGCTATTTTCTCGGCTATTTTACTCTTAGCTTATATATAATAATTAACAGAAATATATATTACTACATCTTGAGTTCATATGTCGAATATATATATATATATATATCACGTCACGAAAATATTCAGATTAAATAAGTATGTAAACATTTGCGACGTTTTACGTCATATTTAATCGTTTACGCGTAATTACTTGAAAAGACTCACCAGAATGAAGCAACGTAGGGATTTCCTGCGTAGCTGCAACTCAAAGTGGATCGAAGTGTTCAGTTTCTGCGACAGCAGCACCACGGACGTTAAATTTTCCTCGATGTCTAACAAATTCTTATGGGAATTCACGATTTTTCAGAAGACAATTTGTCGAACATCTTGAACAAAGATCCGATCAGACGTAACGATCATCAAGATATTTACGAGCAGCTTGTATGAAGTAAAAAAAGAGCCGTCGCGCGAGTTACTTGACGTGTACACTCCTTGAGATATTATTGTCGACGGGTTTGCTTTCGAGATCTAAGCAAATGAATTCTCAACCGTATAAGCTCGAATATAACGGTACCGGACATTTCGCTCAGAGAAATATCATTCGATTCTCTTCTTCATCGCGGAGATATCAGACAAACTAATCGAAAAATCCATGAACCCTTTTGATGACTTTCGCCGTTTCTCAAATCTTGCACGATTTCCATTCACTCCTTGACGTAAGTCTAAAATACTCTCTCGCGTTGCATCGATATCCCTCGTCGGAATGCATAATATTATCGGCGTGGCCGTTCTCCTTGAATTTCCGAGAAAATCACAGATAGGCATCCGCGAGCTTCCCCGAATCGCATGGGTCACGAAAAATCGGCAGAGCGTCCCACTGAACGAATTTCAAAGGCGAGTCGCGACGGGGTCCTCTCGCATGGCACACTTAACACACGCGAGAAACGCGTGTAACGTTACGCAAATACAGACACGTTTGATCGTAAATAGACAAGACACGTTGACACCAGCCGAGCACCGAGAGTGACACCAAAGATCCGTATCGAAGTCACGAAACACTTTGTTTCTCACCGCGGTAACGAGAGACGGGAAGAAAATCGTAGGTGAAGGAAGCGCCACAGGCGCGTTATCTCGGTATGTAAACGCGCTTCTCGCTCGTTCTTACCTCTAGTTTCCGTTCCTTCGGAGAAAGAAACGCGAGACGCATAATTTACGTGCATTACGCGAGATATATGATGGTCCCGATCGAGTGGAGAGAACTATACGTTACTTCCTTCCGATCGCGTCTCGACACTGATACCCTCCGGCTGCAACAATTTGAGGCCAGATGGTGCCTCAAATATTGTCCTCTCGTATTTAGGAGAGTTTTTGGAATTTTTTTCACCAACGTAGATTTTATTTACTTTCTTCTTGAGAATATATGACATCTGATTTAGGATTTTGAATTTATTGTTACTCTCAGATTACTTTTATAATTTCTTGATATTCTATGTTATTTTTTTTAACTTCCTGATATAACTATAAATAATTCTAGCTATAGGTACAGTGTCCTGTCTTTTCTTTGTTTATATTCTTTACTGAGAAAATGATGATTGTTGCGATTACACTACGTTTCACGCACTATCTTGACGCTCTCAGCAATAAAATAGCGACTGTTGATCACACGATGACACTATGTCGACACTCGGCTTGTCGTAGACACAACATCGCTCTGAGAGACGATCGATGATGTCAGATCACTCATCGTTTGTCACCATCGAAGTCGGGGGAGTTGGGTTGAAAATATTTCCTGCGATTTTTTTCATCGATCTCTTCCGCAAAACCAGTCGATCGTGAAACTCGGAGAAATCGTCGTCGTTTCGGAGATAGGACAGGATTTTCTCGATCGCGCGATCGGCTTAGCGCAATTGCCGATAATGGACACGTGTCTTACGACGTTTTCTCCTGTTTTTCCCTTTTTGTTTCCACCGTCGTGCACGGAGAGAGGACGACGGGATATCGCTGGCGCCGCTGCTTGACGTTTTCTGTTCACTTCCTCCCGCGAGAAAACCACCTTCGGGTCGGTCCAGCGCGCAACAACCGTCGTTTACGTAAGCATGCCAAAGAGCGTTGCGTTAAACCCTCGCGGTGTCGCGGTTTCGTGTGCGTTAACAAGTTTGTATCCAAGGTCTGTTTTTTTTATTTCTGCACTGAAACTCTCTTTGTCGCTTTTATCAAATATCGAACATATATCTATCTCTGTTCAAGTTCCAAAAGTGTACTAGTTCAGCCACAGAAAAGACCTTCATATACATGGGAAACGACTCCGCCGTCGCACCGTCCAGCTGTTTTGTTTCTGTGCTCTGAGTCTTTCCTCGCGAGATCAAGATGTCAAACTGGTATCGCGAGCAAAAGATCGCGATATAGGAGCTCGATAATTACGACACTTCACAGATTCTCATCAACGTCCGCCGTCAGATCGCCAAACTTGGAGAATGAAAAATGCCCTATTCCTTTGATTATCCCTGGCACTCCGTTTGATCGCGATCACTTTCACTTCGTTTTTGTTGTTTTCGCTCATTCGGTGGAAAATCCTATGTCTCTTCGGAGTGATGAATCGTCGGCGCGACTCGGAATCCGATCCGCCGTGAAATCGGAACCGATACGCGCTGTAATCCGTCCTCAACGTCGAGAGACCGGGAGCGGTGGTACTCGCGTGGAAATCGGGAGTAGCACTGACTCGCTTCGATCGAAGCGACGCGGCGATAGGCAAGATCCTCCCGCTTGCGTGCCGCGCGCAGCGGCGGCTTTTCTCGAGGGATGCGAGTCGTCGGCAGGGTGAAAGTTACTTTGTTCGGATGATCCTTTCACTAACAATATTCAAGCGGTCTTTCTTCTTCTTCTTCTTCTTCTTCTCGATTTTTGGCACTCGCCGAATAAAATGATGGCGAAGAAAATCCGACCATCGAAAGAAGTCTCTTTTCGAGTATAGCAAATATAAAGTTTAGACGCTCGATGGACTTCCCTTCCCGTAATGTCAATGAAAAAGCGACGGAATACCCAGCGCATATATATACTCTGCGATCAACTTCCTCATGAAAATATAACGACACGTAGCGACACGGCAGCGAACCGATATCGCGTGATCCTGTGCCTCATCGATCGAGCGATCGCTTCTCGCTAATCGTTTCTCGACACGACGATCCTCTCCCTGGTCGAATGTTACGCGGATTACTCCTGCAATGTTCCGCAATGTTTCGGGGTGAGCCGCGGCGTTTGCCGCTCGTCCCCGCACGCGCCGGGCTGACGGTTCGGCGTCCTCGGCGATCGACGATGTGTACTCCTGCGATCGTAAGTATCGTGACCAGGTCGGCGGGGCGACGCATGGCCATACGGCAGAGACACCGTGAAAGCACCGGCGATGACCGTCGCTGACTGGCGGCGCGGCGCGAACGTGAGTCGTGAGTCGTGAGCGTGAACGACTTGTCGTTGTGGCTTGCGCGCGTTGCGAGTGCGATGTGCGCTCGCCGGCTCTCGCTTCACTCGCTTGAGTCTCGCTACGACGCGACACGAGCGCATCGGCATCAGTCGACTCCTCTCACAAACCGCCGCGCCGGCACCACCACCAGACAGAACCCCAAAGCCCGGCACGTCGCTCGCGCGCTCCCGCCTCCCACTCTCCCCGCGCCGCGGGCATCATCTTTCCCCACCATCGCGTCGGGATGCCGGGATGCCGGCATCCTCGGTACCAACGACGACGGGATCCCACCGGCACGCGAATAACAAGCGAGTTTTTTTCGATCGGTCCCTCTGCGTCTACCCTCTCGATCCCGAGGTAGCTTCTCGTGCGAAAGTGTGCGCTTTAACGATCTACCAAGTTTCTAAATATCGTAAATTGTATACTGTATACTATTCGGAGCACGATTATTCGTAATTTATGTAAGAACACTGAAAAAGAATTGTATTAATTGGAATTCTAATGGAAAATGAACAAATTAGAATTTCATAGTTGAACCTATTATAATTCTAGAAATAATCAGCTGTTCAATCATGATGATCGGAATTCTGATTGATATGATTAGAATCTACTGGCTATCATTGAATTTTCAATCAGAAATTTTTCTTAATGCAATTTACTTACACACTTGATTTATTCTTGGAGCACAAAACTGTATTTATTTTAATAATTTATATAATTACTAAGTTTAAGCAGCGATAATTATAACCGCCGAGTTCGACGATGTCGTAAATGTTGAGTACTCTATGCAGATTTTGTTACGATGATTCGACAAAATATGAATTTCTAGGTGACTTGCAAGTCCGCTTTGTTGTTCATTTTATTGACAACGATATGTATATTACTGACATTAAATATTTATTTGCACTTATTTGTACTATGATTACGAATACTTTCAAAACAAGTAGTGATCTGAATCATTTATCATTTCTACTTATCATTTCTACTTGTGCATGTAAAGTATCATGTAAAGTTCATGAACAAAATTAAAAAGATAAATGTTTATAAAATCATATTTTTCCATTTCTTTATCTTGTCCGAAGCAACAGACATTTATGCAAATAGTACACAGTTATTGTAAAATTTAAAACACATATATTTATCGACGATAATACTTTCTGAGGTTACTTGAACCTTCATTGGTAGTGTCGTCATTACTTCCATTCGACATATCGAAAGTACTTGTTACAAAAAGTGTGAAGCGTTTCTCCTCGAAATTACACGATGCTCAAAAAAAATCGCAAAATTCCAAACAGGAAGGTTTGTTTTCGCTCGAATCCGGCATGTATGTTTTAAACACCGACTGATCCTCGTATCGGGCCACCGAATTAACTTCGCACATCGATTATCCGCGATAATATCAGCACGCTCGCGGGTATATCGCGCTTGCACCTTCGAATCCGTTTATCGCGTCGATAATATTTCGCAGACTGCGCGACACTCTTGTATGTTTCACAATTCACGGTTTCGTGTCTTCCCGGCACGAAACCGGCAGGTTCGACACGCTCCGACCGAACGGCCGGGATGCACCTGTGGATACACGATGCACAACACCCAGGGCTCCGTGTATAAAACACTGCCCCACTCTTGACAGTGGTGGTAACGACGTCAGACCAATCTCCGGCCACGCGAACCGTCTTAAACTACTTATTTCTTAGCGAGAGATCCGCTTATCTCGATCCTGAAACCGAGATTCTCTCTCTCTCTCTCTCTCTCTCTCCCTCTCTCTCTCTCTCTCTCTCTCTCTCTCTCTCGCTCGCTCGCTCGCGCTCGCGCGCTAAAAATACTGCGAAAGATTGCTATGTAGAGGCACGCAAATTACCGGTCTGCGCTTA